GAAGAACGAACCAAGCCTATGCCAGCTGTGGACAGAAGCGCTCGACCCAAAAGGGCAGCAAATCAGCTGCAAACCTTTGGCCTGCTCGGCTGCAGGCTGCAGTGCGCCAGGAAATGACAGCGAAAGGCAGGTGTTCCGCCCGCAGCGGCAGGGATTTAAAGGCACCTTTAAAATCCTCTTTCCGGAAGCACACAGCGCACTCGCGCGGCGCATCGCCAGCGACAGACCGTGCAACAGCGAGCAGAGTGTCCAAAGTGTCGACCGGCATGGGTTCCCCAATTGCCGTTGCTGAATTGACGAGAGACCCTGAGAAATCATCAATCAAGCGAACCTTGGGGATGAACTCGCCGCCTACTTCCTTCCACCCTTCCAGGGCAGGGAATCGGGCAGAGATCACGGAGGCGGCGGGACGCAGCTCTGTCCACCATGCCTTCTTTTCGGCTACCTCCTGCACGCATTTCGCCTTAAAAGCGTTCCAGACTGCAGGCTGCGCGGCCGACGGTCGGCGCACTCGCTCCAAAGTGTTGGCGTTGTTATCCAAACAACGCTCGGCGAGAGACTCTGCAGTCTCTGACGCTGCAGGGTGCGCGACGGGCGGCAAAATGCCGCTCCGAGGCAACTGGCCAAGCAAGGGAAACCCTCGTTTGAGATCTTCCACCAGGCGGCAGTCTGGCCAGCCAATTGCCTCAATCATTTCCGCAAGAAGAATGAGATTCTTCTCAGGCCCCAGGACAAGCTGACAATGTTCGGGCAAAAGCGCAAACGCACATCTCCAGGCTGAATCTGTTTCGCGCTTTCGCGCGGCCCAATGCTGGAGCCTCGCCGCGCGGTGCGCGTGAAGCTCGGAATCTGACAGGGATTCCGCCCCCCTCAGTGCCTCAGCTATCACTGTTGGCACTGGCGGGAGCCCTTCGTGTGCAGGCAAAGAAAGAGCCCATTCCAGGTGACTCCAAGGGTCCATGGAGCCTAGCAAAACATGATTGGCTAGCAAGGAGTCCACGGCTTCGCCGAGCGAGTGCTCCAGGGACTCCTGGTCCTTTAAAACACTTGTAGGGGTACTATCGGCATCACTGGCGGACGCATCTTCGGACGCCTGGCTTCACCGGCTCGACCAGCTCTTGCCATGCTGCCAGCTCTGGCCTTTGCTCCACTGGCTCTCTTTTTTCTTGCGATCTGCCTGGGGGCGGCTGCGTGATCTGCGCCGCAGGACTGGCGACACAGGTGCAGGGCGCGCCCCCTTGGGCCCACCAGCACTCTTGCCACTGGAACCCTTGCCAGAGCTGCCCTTTGCTTGCGCCGGCTGCGCTGGACCTTTGCCCGCGGCCTTCCCCGCGCGGCCGATCGCCGTCTGGGCCTTGTCCCGAGCGTCCCGGACGATCTCGCGGTCCAATCTCTGGAAAAAGTGCGCAATTTGCTCGCCCCTCTCCAAGGAACGTGCCATCTCACGCCGCACCAGCCAATCGTAGAAATAAGCGGTGTGCACGCCCCCGAACTCCTCGGCAACCCGCGGAAGCAGGAACACGTAACCCAGCACCTCGGACACATAACAAACCTTCATGATGCAAATCTTGAACCCCCACGTCATGACCTGGCCCAAGAACGTCGCGAACCCGACGTAGTGCACCCGATCCTCGAGCGTCCGCGCGCGGCGCATCTCAAGAGACGCGCGCATCCGATCCTCCCAAGTGCCTGCTGCAACGACGACGTCGATCTCTGGGGTGCGGCTCCACTGAGGCCGGTGGGCTGCTTGGAGGTCGTCGCCATCGGCGCTGCCCACGAAGCGCCTGTCCCAGTCGGCAGCGGCGCGGCCGGCCGCCTCCCACTTGCCCGCGAGCTCCTCTGACGGCAAAGCCTCTGGGGGAAACTCGTGGAGCCCGACCTCGCGGATCCTGTCCGCCAGGCTGAAGGACAGGTCCATCTTCGGCTGCGAGCCAGCTTGCTTGACAAAGTCGCGCATCACTTCAGCGAAGGCATCGCTAGTCGTCCCAGCAGGGGCCACGTCACTGCTTGGTCCTGCGTCGCTGCTGCCAGCGGTGCCTGCCTGGGCCACGCACTTGCCCTGGACGCGCAACGCGTGCGCGAGCTGCGCCGGGGGGAATTTCAGAAGCTTCCAAGCCTCCGGGTAATCCTCAGCGCCGAAGGGGAAGTCGTTGGGCTTGATGCCCTGCGTGATCATGCCGCGGATCACCACGTCCCCGTAATCACTCGGGTGGGTGCTGCCCACGAGGTTGGCGAGAGCTGCGGCTACACTGGTGTAGAAACGCAAATCGTGTTTGGCGCGTGGAGCTTCGTCGACGCCCAGTGCGAACCGCACCCAGTTCAGCCTGTCTGCGGCGGGCGCCCCGGAGAACGCTGCGGCAGGCAAGCCCTCGAGATCAGCCTTGATCTCAACGTCTGTGAACGAAACCTGCGCCATGGTGTTGCGGGCAACGAAGCGGGAATCTGCAGATTGGTTAGCTGGTGAGCAACAAAGACTGACTCGAACCGCGGAGGCTACGGACATCACAATAGCCACACAGGACCGCCAAGCAAAACGTGGGACGAGAAACGGGCAGACCCAGCAAAATCTGCGACGAGGAGCAGCAAACCAGTGCAAGCATAATCACCTGCACCAAGGTGCACCCAAAGGCGCCGGCGAAGCCACCGTAGCTGGAAACGCCCAGCGTCAACCAACGTTGACGGTCGTTGAGTTTGGTAACCCAGAGCACACCAAAGGAACCCATCGCCAGCAAAGGTTTGGGCGATTGGAACGCCGAGCCAGCAAGGGCACGCCAGGAGAACCTGGAATTAGCAACTGTACTGGAACAGGTGCCCCTCAGCCCTACAACCCAGCGTTAGCAGCGGCTTGGACATTGGACGCGCCATCAGGTTTGTGGCTGTAGCCGCCCAGCGTAAGCCGCAATGGCTTGGCCGACTAGAATCGCCCAGCGTTAGCAGCGGCACGCCAGCAGAACCCAACGTTAGCAGCCTTTGGTGACCGGGGAGTCGAGCGTCAGCAGAGGCACCAGCGAAACCCAGCGTCAGCAAGGGTTTGGTACCTGGGGCCGCTCACCGTAGGCTAGGGCGCACCAGAGGAACCCAGCGTAAGCAAGGGCCTGAGCAGCCGAGCGCTAGCAATGGCGCGCCAGCGGAACCCAGCGTTAGCAACTGGGAGGACTGAAACCGCCCAGCGTTAGCCAGAGCACACCTGCCGAACCCAGCGTTAGCAAGGGCCTTTGCTGACTCGAGCCGCCCAGCGTTAGCTAGGGCGCACCAGCGAAACCCAGCGTTGGCAGCTCTTGGTGAACGGAGCCGCCCAGCGTTAGCAAGGGCGCACCAGCGAAACCCAGCGTTAGCAAGGGTACGGTGACTGAGCCGCCCAGCATGAGCAGGGGGACCCAGCGCTAGCAAGGGTTTTGGGCGCCTGGAAGCGTTAGCAAGAGCGCTCCAGGGGAACCCAGCGTCAACAAAGGTTTTGGGCGCCAGACACCGCCCAGCGTTAGCAAGGGCGCACCAGCGAAACCCAGCGCTAGCAAGGGTTTGTGGTGACTGGAGCCGCCTAGCGTTAGCAAGGGCGCCCCAGCGGAACCCAGCGTTAGCAAGGGTTTTTGGCCCCTGGAGCCGCCCAGCGTTAGCAAGGGCGCACCAGCGAAACCCAGCGTTAGCAAGGGTTTGCCGTGACTGGAGCCGCCCAGCGCTAGCAAGGGCGCACCAGCGGAACCCGGCGTTAGCAAGGGTTTGCCGTGACTGGAGCCGCAGCGTTAGCAAGGGCGCGCCAGCGGACCCCAGCGCTAGCAAGGGTCCTGGCAGCGGAGCCGCCCGGCGCCACGAAGTGCACACTGGCGAACCCCAGCCAAGGGCGCACCTGGAACTACCAGCTGCACGCTTGCGAGAGCACCCGTGCACGAACGCCAAATGCGACGAGGGGCGCCGGCACCGCGGCCCAACGGCCCGCAGGCGAGAGCACGCGACGTGACGCGGCGCTGAAGGCGAGGTGAACCCAACCCGAGAGCAGCCTGCACCGCGGCAGCGGTACACCCACGAGAAGCGATGCGCACGCGCACCCCCTGACCCCGCAGGCCCTGCTGCGTCCGCGCGCTGACGCAGGGTCCACAAGGCCCCTACGACCAACGACAGACGGACACGGACGGACGGACACGGACAGACGGGCAGAAAGGGAAACCGCACCCTGAAGGGGCCAGGCGTGAGCAAGAACTTCCCCTCCAACTCCGCAGCTTCCGTGGGAAGCTACCGGCCATGAGCCTGACGCCCGAAGCCAGGAGGCCAGGAGGCCAAAAGGCTAAGAGTGGACAAGAATCCTACTCCTCAAATTTCACTGCCCCCCAAATCACTCGTGCCTCGTGATTTAGGGGCGACATAATACTAATGCGATTTATTTGAATTTCTATGCCTCTGTCTATCGGGGCGGCAACGGCAGAGCGGGCGGGCGAGGCCGGGGGCGACGGGGGATGGGGGGGCGACGAGCGCGGGCGGGAGAGGAGGGCGAACGGCGGGGAAAATAATATCGCAATGGGAAGGGGGGGCCGAAGGGGGAATGCGCGCGGGCGGCCCAGCGCGTCGTCGCGCGAAGGGTCGCGCGCGTGCCTGCGGAGGCTGGGGCGGGGGTGGGTGGCGGGCGCGATGGCCCCCTCGTCTCGTCGTCTCTTTCTCGTCCGGTCCTCCGCGCACCTCCCATCTTTTACTTGTCCCTCCTGTCCCTCCGACCCTCCTGTTTCCTCGTTGCCGCCCCCGCACTCGTCGCCCTTCATTCTTCGCGCGCCCTCGCCCCTCTTTGCCTGCGGCCCCAAGCGATCGCCGCCCGCTCGCGCGGCGAGCAACGAATCCAACGGGGCCGCGCTGGATTTCGACCCCGCCCCCTCCTCCTCTCACTCGCCCCTTCTCCTCCTCGCTCCTGCTCGACTGCTGGCTTGCAGATTCTCGTTCGCCATTCCGATTACAAGCGGGGGGCGCTGCCCGGCGGGGGGGCGCACCCCCTCCTGCGGCGCAAGAAGGCCCTCCGATTAAAGTCGGGCAAAGTGCGAGGCGGTGGCCTTGCACTTGTCGATGGCGCTAGCGATGGGGGCGTTCTTCGCCGTCGGAACCTGGGCCGCGCCGCCGTCGGACTCGACGTCGCCCTTGTCGCCGTCGAACTCTGGGGCCCCGGCCGTCGAAACGCACCGGCGCCGCGGCGGCGTCGCCCGGGTCGCTGGGGGCGCCCTGCTCCAGCGCGCAGCCGACCGTGCGCCCCATGCCCTCGGCCCCCTCCGCGGCGACGGGCGCGCCCGCGAACGCGCGCGCGCCAGTGCCGTCGCCCGTGCCGGAGTCCAGCGTGGAGCTGGTTCCGATGGTGAAGGCGCCTACGGCCTTGGCGCCCCATCGCAGCATGCGCGGCCCCTTCGTGGACGTCGTGCGCCCCCCCCCCCGCTCTAGGTAGTGGCGGCGCGGCCATCGGCGCGTCTCCTAGCCGCTGGTGTTCATGGCTGCGCGAATCTCAATCTGAGAGAGCAGCTTGGCGCGTTCGCTCTTCGGCGCATCAGGTAACTGCTGCAATGGTGACGCAGCGGCGCGTGACGTGCAAGCCAAATCGGCGCGCTTGCTTTTGATTTTCTCATGCTCAGTCGTCGCTTGGGTCCCAGATGACGCCGACAAGGTCGACCCTCCGTCCCGCGTGAACTGGCCTGGCGCAACCGCCATCGCCATCGCGCGAGACGCGATGCGCTCGGCCCCCGCGCGAGAACTCCAAATTCGCAGCGTCCGCCACGCGGGCCCCCTCACCCCGCGGGCGGCCATGGACCCAGGAGCAGAGACACCGCGGGCAACGCGGCCCCCAACAGTGGTCGGAGGCGAGCCAGCCTCGCACAAAACGCCCTGGATTTGGTTTTCCTGGTTTTAGCTTTGCTGCATGGGCCCTGTCGTCGGCGAGGCCTTGCGGCGTCGTCCACACCTAAGTTGGCAGCGCTGGGCACTAGGGGGCCAGCCAGACCCCCGAGGCGCGCGCCCTGCTGTTGCCCCAGACACTTCGGCGACGCAATTAGAGACCTCCTGCCAGGATCGTCAAACACAATCGCGCCAACCTCCTTCGAGAGAATCCTCTCCGGGCCCTCGCAGCAGGTGGGGGGTGGGAAAGAGCGTGGGAGTGTGGCCTGTCGATGATCCCGTGGCAGACAGGCCAGAATCATCAATTTACAGCTTGAAACGCACCTGGCGCGGCAACGCGAGATGGTCCAGAGTGCCAGCGGCATATGCACGAATGAGCGCGGTAGCAAATCCACAGCCCGCAATGATTCCCCTCGCGGCCCAGAAGGGCCCATCCGTGAAACCAGCAAGTCTGAACCATGTGCTCTGGAGGTGCATGCAAACGGCCACTTGAGCAATCGCCAACGGAAAACCGAACTGCTTGCATCGATGCAGCAGCTTCCGAAAGTCCATCGTCTCATAATACTTGTAGAGATCGAGAAAGACCGTGGCCGCCTGACCCGTGTCTCTGACGCTGGACTCGGCACGGAGGGACTGACGCCAGACCATATCCTGGGCCCCTTCGAGGGGCCCAGCCGCAAAGTACCCCCGAGGGTGGGCGTGCCGCGGCCGCAGGCCCGATGCACTGCGCAAAAAGTCCCTATCGACCTGAAACCAACCGTGGCCTTAGGAATCAGGGTGAGCAGCGCAATGGCGGTCTGGCTCGGTAGGAGGGCGGCTCTTTCCATGGCAGCGAAAAGGCGAACCAGCCCCTCAAGAGCATGATCGCTCATCATGCTAAAATGACGCATGTGGAATCCATCCGTGACCGCCGAGGTGCTTTCCTTAAAGCCCTGGGAGAAGGCACGGACAGCCTCAACAGGCACAAGGGGGTCTTCGTCCACCAGATCATGACAAAACCAATCCTGGCTCCTCCCATCCCCCCACAGGTCAGCAAATTTCTTATCTCGGCCAGCAGGAGCGACAGAGGATCGCAAACAACTTCCATATCAATGGAAAGGGTGGTGGCGGGCTGCCACTTGGTAGTCCCGCCGCGCCTCCACCCGCGCCCTGGCATGCCCGCCCCGCGCGCGCTCCGTTCTTGGGCGCCCTCGGGCGTAACGGTGCCCCGGCCGCCCTGGACTTCGCGGTCACCTCGGGGCTGCGGGGCGACTTGCTCGCCGCCTCGGCTGCCGCGCCCGGCGCCGCGGCCGAGCGGCGCGAGGAGCAAAGCCGCCGCCGGGATCACCTTCATTCCCATGGTGGTCGAGGCGCACGGCGGTGGCTGGGGCAAGGAGGCGCGGCGCGCCCTGGCCGTCCTGGCCAGGCGCGCGGCGGACGCCACGGGCGCGACCCCTCGCAGGTGGCGGCGGAGCACGCCCAGCGACTCTCGCATCTCCTCCAGAAGGAGAACGCGCGGGCCGTGCTTCTCAGGCTGCAGGCGCCGGCCGGGGCGCCCGCGGCCAAGCTGGCGGCGGCCGCGGCGGCTAGCGCGGCCGACGCCGCCTGAGCCGCCGCCCTCCCCTGACCGCGACCACTCCCTCCCCTGACCGCGACCGCCGCCCCCGACGCCCTGCCCCGGCGACCCCCCCCTGGCCTTGGCCACGACGACGACCGCCTCCGCCCGCCCCCTGCTTGCTCTGCGCTGCCTCTGCTGCTCCCCTTCCTGGTCGGCGTCTGTTCAGTGTGTTTTTCCCCTTGCCCCTCGTCTTCCTCCTCCTCCTCCTCCTCCTCCTCCTCCTCCTCCTCCTCCTCCTCCTCCTCCTCCTCCTCCTCCTCCTCCTCCTCCTCTCTCCCCCCCCCCCCAGGCAGCGCAGCCTGCCCAGTGCAGGCGGTGCGAGGCGCGAATTTTATGGCTTAGCGTGTCGCGACGCCGGTTCTGGCCCACCACGATTTCCACACCCTTTGAGTCATGAGAGAATCTCGGCGGCAGGTTTTTCATTGTTTTTGCTGCCTGCAGCACTGCGTCGCGCTACATCAGCTCATGATTCTCCAGTAGCAGCGCGCTGGACCATCGAAGCAACACTCACCAGAAGCAGTCCAGTGGATTTTTGTGTGTAGCGTTGGAGCGTGGTCGGAGACTGGCGGTCAGCGTGCGCCGCTGGTCTGCCACCTGCTGGTCGGCCCCCTTCTCAAGGCAGAGGGCGGCCCCAGACGCCCCCCGTTTTCTTGCGCGTTGTTGACGCTCTGCGAGCGCCCAGGGCCAGGGCGGCTGCGCGGTTACGTGCGCGGCAGGGGCGCACGGCAGTAAGCGTGATACGGGGCTTGCAGGCGACCCTCAGAGCATCTCACAGGAAGCCTACACGACAGCTCATGGGCACTCTAACACGCCGGTGGCGTGCGGGCACGGCGGAGAATCTTCCTCGCGCAAGCCATTGCTTCCATCGCGAGACCCGCTCGAGATCTCTAGCTGATTTGAGCGACGTAGCTCTACTGAGCAACAGGGCATCAGGCTTGGAATAGAGCCTGGCTGGTGCATCAGCCCAAAGACAGACAAATTCGCAGAAGCGGCGCCAATTGCAGCAACAACATCTGGTCTGAAATTGACCGACGCCCCCCGCCGCGGCCCCACCGCGTCCCGGCGCAAATCTTGAGTTATCCCACGCGATAACTTCGCGCCCGAAACTTGCGGACACCCCCCGCTGCGCCCCCGCCAAGCCCCGGCGCCTCCACCCCACGCGACATCAATTCTTAGAACCCCCCCCGTGACCATTTCTGGCCCGAATCTGACCGACGCCCCCGCCCGCGCGCCCACCGCGCCCAGGCACCCCCACCCCGCGCGAGCGCAATTCTGGGGGGCTCCCCACGCGAGCATTTCTGGCGTGGAACCTCCGGGCGCCCCCTACCGCGCCTCCACTGCATTCCGGCGCGCCCGCTCTGCGCGAGCTCAATTCGCGGGGCCCCCGCGTGACAATTTCAGGCCCGGAATTTACCGATGCCCCCCGTCGCGCCCCGGCACCCCCACCCCCGCGAGCGCAGTTCTTGGGCCCCCCCACGCAACAATTTCGCGCCCCAAACTCACCGACGCCATCCACTGCGCCCCCATCGCGCCCCGGCTGCCGGCGCCCCCCGCCGCGCCCCCGTCGAGCCCCAGCGCCGCCGCCCCGCTCGACCTCATCGGGCCCCCCCCGCGCGATAATCTCAAGCCCGAACCTTGCCGATATTCCCCGCCGCGCCCCCGCCGCTTCCCGGCGCCCCCACTCCACGGCGCCTCAAGTTCTTGGGCCCCCCCACGCGACCATTTCTGGCCCGGAATTACCGACGCCCCCCGCCGTGCCCCCTCCGCGTTCCGGCGCCGCCAACCCACGCGAGCTCAGTTCGCGGGGCCCCCCCGCATGGCAATTTCAGGCCCGAAATTTACCGGCGACCCCCGCCGCGCCCCAGCCGCGCCCGGGCCCGCCTGCCCCGCGCGAGCTCAATTGTTGGGATCCCCCGCGCGACAACTTCTGGCCCCAAGCTTGCCGACGCCCCTTCCTCGCCCCCGCCGCGCCGGAGCGCCCGCCCCCCGCGAGCCGCGCGAACGTCGGGCCACATGGCCGTCGCGCATCGAAGCGGCTCGGAACATGCATCCAACAGATTGGGCCTGGTGCTCTGGGGGAGGGACAGACGCCGATATCGCTGCCCTTGTTGCCTCTCTTTCGCCTCTTGGATGCGACGCAATGACCTGGCGCTCTGCCCCCGGGCACGCATGGGGCGAGTTGAAGGCGCCTCCTTCCCGTCGCGCGGGCCCATCTTAAAGAAAGACAAGACTTTCTCCCCTTCCTCGCGCAGATCCTGCATGGTTGGGAACTACTCTCTTCTCGCGCGGCTCGTCGACCGCGGATCTGCCGGCTCGTCCGGGGTCGGCGGCAGAGGCGGCGGCCCGTGGATCCGGCCGCCCCCGCCCCGCGGAGTGGGCCGCGCGAGACCTCTCTGACAAAGTGTTTGGCGCAGTCTGTGGCCCTATTCGCCAGTGCCTGGTCCAAAACTTCCCCGGCAGCCCCTCAGAGGCGGCCCGGGGCGGCACGATGAGGGCCCCAGAGCGGCCCCGAGAGGGGGCCCAGGTGGGAGGCCCGAACAAACATTCCGAGCTAGAGAACCCCAAGAGGCCCCCAAGAAGCCGCCAGGAGGCCCCGAGAGGCCCCTGAACCCTGAGAGCGCTCTCGAGACCCCAGGAAGCGCCCATGAGGACTCCGACCCAAAACCCGAGCGCAGTCGCGGGGTGGGCCGACGGCCATTTGATTGCTGGCACGCGCGCCGCCTCACGACTTTCGACGCTGCGCATCGCTTCGGCGAATTCCCAAGGGGCGGCCGGCGATGCGCCGCCGGCGTCCGCGATCCGGCCCCCCCCGCCCGGCGGGTTGGGCCGCGCGAGACGTCTCTGACAGAATGTTTGTCGCAATCATTGGCGCCCTTCGCCAGTGTCTGATCGGGGGCCCCCTGAAGCCCCT